GAGACTATCAAACAAATTTCCTGCAAATTTACTACTGCCTGTTAAACCGGTATGTGTTGTTGCAAAAAACATGGGTTGAATCGCACACCTTTGTGCATAAATTGTAATGATGGTGATGGAGAGAAAACTGAGAAAATCGATTACTTATTTGAAGAAATGAGTTATATATATATATATTGAAAAAGGAGTAGAGCGCCCAAATAAAGGATTTAGTATCGAGGATCAAGATTAATTAAATAATAAATTATTGCAATAAAAATACACATTATATAATATTATTATAACACAAAGAATACGAATAAAATAAATATAAATGAAAGACAAACGTGAATCAATGTTTTTTACAATTTATTAGAGTGTATTTTGTTAAGAGTATACCAATTAACTGAATTATGAATTATTTAAACAATTTAATTGTAAAATATAAATTATTTTGTTAGAGTGTAAAAGTAAATGATTTATTGTTAATCTATTATTATTTCATAGGAATTTAATTTTGAAGAATACATAGTGTTAATTTATCCGGGTCTTACCGATTTTCCAGGAAAATGAAAATGTAGCAGATGACATTATTTCGACGAGTTACCCCAAATTAAAAAGAGAAGGTTCTACATTGCTTAAAAGGCGAGATGCAAAATTTTACAGCGCACTCGGATTTGAAGACTCAATTTCAAAAAATAAATTAAGCTACAGCTGATGCCTCCACTACCTTACCCGGAAATACTTACTAGTACGAGTATCTTCACTTGAGGTGACTATTTCTTAAAGGACTTTGAACTAATAATAAAATTATAAATTGGATCATAAAATTGAGATTCTTGCTTAAAATCTGTGAAAATTTTGAGTCTTAATGTTTGTAAAGGTGATATGAAATTTGAAAAAAATTATCTTGGCTTCTATTGGTCGTAGAAGGGTTTTTTCAAATATGCGTTTTTAACCACATAACCAGATCAGCTTATATATATATATATATATATATATATAATTTGCTTCTGGAACAAACAATTAGCTTTTACAATTGTCATTGCAATAGTTATAAACATTTATTCAATATTGTTGAAAAGGCCCGGATTTAGCCTAATTGTCTATCGATTTTAATTCTTAAAGAATAAAGTTCTAAAAATCTCCAGTTTACCAATTACATACGAGGCTTTAATTTGAAAATTATACAAGCAAAATTCTGAATTTTGAGCTTTTCCCACTATTTATAAAAAAACAACGCATATCTCTATCTTTTTTTGTATTTGTCATTAGAGGACCCCCTTTTATTTAAAACTTTCAGATATCTGTTAAGCTTTTTTATACGAAATACCTATTTTTTGTTCTCTGTAGCCTGGGCTATAAATATGTCCTGACAAATCAAAACATCCTTCTTTTTTGTCTCCCTAACATTTCGATACACATCTTGAATACTGATATCGTTTCTGGAGGTAAGGTGGATAAAGACGCTATCAAAGGAAACCTATTTTTTTCTATATTCTCGCAAATCCTGCATAAAAAATATTTATCATCTTTTGGGTGAAAAAGTCACAGAAATATTCTTACCGGGTGAGCCATTAATAACGAACACCGGCTGTATCTCCTACCTACTATAATAAAAGGGTATGTAAAAGTATAGTTAACTACGTAACAAGTGCGGAAAGCCGTCAAGGGCGGAAAATAGTCGTACATTTTCCGCAAGTGTTAGGTAAAAGATTTTTTCTACTTTTCTACCAGCGTGCGGAAGGTACTCACTTTCAACACGCATCTGCATGCAGAAAGTAGCACTTTTCTGCACGCTGCTTTCTGCACGCAGATGCGTGTTGAAAGTAAGTACTTTTCGCACGCTGGTAGAAAAAATTAATTTCATGTTCCCGAGACTTGTAAGCTAGTGTGCGTTAATTCAACTTTATAGTTATAGATATCGTTTATCAATAAGTGTTACATTGAAATCATTATGAAACCCCAAGGGCCAAGTTTATGAAGTATTCATGTACATTTACCTCAAACAAGTTACATTTCAGAACAACTAACAGTAATGTTCGTAAGCAGTTCTTCAGAGCATTACTCGTATACTCTTTAACTCCATTTCAAAGGTCGGTTGACAATATTAACCTCTAACACGCTATCATATACTCCCGTATTGCATACAAAATAATGGCATGGGGTTACTCTAAACAGACTAGCAGTAGATAGAGCTTTTATTAGTCAGGCGAGGATACTTAAGACTCGTAATTAGTGTCGGCAGAAGAAGTACTTGCAGGATATTATAATGAAGATTCTAGGTTCCTAACATTGTGAACAAGCATTATAATCCATGTAACATTCGTTAAAAACCATTTGTACTGCATAACTCATTTGCAGTATTTTCCTTACTATGCTGATACTTTCACACATCAACGTTTAGTTTCATTCATTTCCTCCGAAAAGTTCAAAAGGGACGTGACCTTGTTATGATTAAAGCCTTATTCAGATTCTTATGGCAACTATCCCAGAAGCGTTTTGTTTCTGCGCAATTGGTTCTTGTGATTTCAAGATGCATTGCGACTGACTACTAGTAGGTAATGTAAGAATCCCAATGCAGCTTAAATATTCCAGTTTTATTTGTAATCTCAAAAATGAGCAGAATATGATCTCTAGTGACGACTATGCTTTCAAGGCTATTGATAAATTCAGCAGAATGTTGATTTTGCCTTTGATCTTCAGCTTTTCGTTCCTTGGGACGATTTCAAAATGCAGCGATCTGACCAATAGACCTAGAATTATTGTTGATCGCAATTTTTGACGCTTTTTCTTTTATTTCGATTTCTCAAAATGTAATGCAAAAATGACTTCCAATGTTCTTTGTGAAAATAGTCGGAAATCTGTTGGAAATTGTTACTGTTATTTAGATATTTGTGAAGAACTCTCTTTTTGCGGTGACGAATTGGTTAATGAGGGGGAATAGTAACATGTTCATTGTTTGGAATTTCTCCATATTTTGTTCAAAGAACGACAAGATTTACGGATTAAGTCAATGAAGATAGAAGAATAACCAAAATATGCAAGAATTTGTTCCAGATGTTTTAGAAAGTGTAAGGTCTTGAGTGTGCTTTATAACTATGAAAACGGAAGTTATTCTGTAAGACCTGTAAGTTGGTATCTGGCTGATTAGCTTTTAGGGTCATACGGAGGAGATTTTCCGATTTAGTTAGCATCAAACTGAGGTGTCAGCATCAGTCAGTTTGGAATCTAAATTCTTTGCGCGTGAGGACAAACGGCTTGGTGTAGTTTGAGATACATCAAAATAACGGATTTTAATAGAAGCTTTCTACTTTAAAATGTCTATTTCTCAAGCTACAGTTCCAACGACTTAATGGATTTTGACATTTTTGAAGCGTCCGGCGCGGAAGTGTTCAGTGCCCTCTCCGACCGAAATGAATCGCCTTGCATTCATTCGACATTCGCTCTTTTATTATTCCGAGTGCGAATATCATTCCATCCTTAAGGAGTAGTAAGCTTAGACTTTCTAAATAAGGAATGTTTTACGAATCCAGAAATAACAGAGCGGCGACTATTGATTTCCGTAAAAAATATACACAGATAAAAATTCCAATTAATTTTATAGTTAAAATTTAAACTATTATCTAGTTCAATAAAAAAAATGAGAAATAATATCGTTATCGTTTTTGAAAGCACAACTAAAACTTCTTTCTCCTTGATTTCTGCAGTCGGGTTTTTTTGCGTTCTTCAAAAATGGACTTGTTATACATTGAGTCGCCTATCGAATTATCAATAGGGTAATTTGTTGAATCAATCCTCTTTTTGAATGATCTGTCTGAATATGCAATAAAATATGGAACATTCAACTTTTAAAAATATTGGAAGCCTTGGTCAACTTTTTTAATTGACATTATATTACGAATTCGGATGGATCCTACTCGTATATCCTATAGCAACTATATTATATACTAGGGTATTGAGGAGCTTCACAATGAAATACACGTGACCTACTATTCCATTAAAAAAACATGTGTCCAAAATGGCGCTCATACACTATCTTGAAATTTTCGACTGCCATTTTTACGCTAAACTATAGTATTCATGCATCAATTTCGTCACTCATAATTACGGCCTGTTGACTTGACCCGTTCAAAAAATAATCTCGAAAGGATCTTTTCGAAATGAACTGCATATGCGTAAAAGCTTAAAAGCATCAATAAAAAATGTATCACTGTGCTTAAAGCACAACACTGCCTCAATTGTTATTTATTCAATATGGTCATAGGGACTTTCTGTAGGCACGGAATAATTTAAACGCAATCGCATCAGTTTCAGTGCTCGGTGGTAACTCGTTCGCTGACGTTTCATTTGAATCTGCAACAGCCCCAATTGATTCATTATATATTAATTGCGCATAGTTGGAAAAACAATTTTGATATCTGTCACGCATCCTTAACCATATACGTATAAATAAATTGGTATGTCTCTGTTGGACCCTGTCTATTTTCAGCCTAAAATTACTACCTGGTGGATATCAAGCTCTTTTTATTTCTATGGAGTCAAAAAGAGTGATAACCAGAAAACAAAGACAGACGTGTTTACTGTGTGCTCTTAGTTTTTGGTGATTTTAAATGGTAATAACGTGCGTTTTTTCTCCAATTTACATGTGCGTGAGCGTAGTAACGCGTTAGCTGTCGTTGTATTTTTTTTTTAATGAAGTGAACTGCTTTCTTCAATCAATTATGGCCGATAAATGTGCAGAATGCCAGTCGCTGGTAAACCGTTCCAAGCCAGGTATATCGTGCAGTGGTTTTTGCGATCAGTTTTTTCACATTTCTTGTATGGGAATTCCATATGACGTATTGAAGGTAATTAAAACACCTGGTTTATTTTGGTTTTGCCCATCCTGCGTTAATAAAAAAACGGATTTGGATTTTGTTTCTACTAGGATAAATAAAAAGGTCGATGCACTTATTTCCAATATCCATGAGTCCTTTAATGAAGCAAAATATGTTCTAATAAACAAGATTGATGAACAGTTTGATCAAGATACCTTAAGAAGGATGCCTGCGACGGATGCTTCATACGCAAACATTTTGAAAAAAAATGTGAATTTAATTGTTAAGCCAAAAAACAACGATCAGCCTCATGCAGCGACAAGACTTAAGATGCGTCAGTCTGTTGATCCGGTAATTAATAACATTAAATTTTCTCAAGTAAAAAACATAAAAAATGGGGGATTACTTATAAAGTGTGATGGATCTGAAGATGCCAGCAAATTGAAGGAGTTGGCTTCATTGCACCTTGCTGATGATTATGAAGTCAAGGAAGTGAGGAAGTTTAACCCCCGTTTGAAAATTGTAGGAATGTCTGAGTGTATTGACAAAGATCAGCTCAGTGTTATACTGAAGTCTCAGAATAGTGTATTTCAAAATGATAGTGAGTGTACTGTGTTAAAAGTGTGGCCAACTAAGAAGTCAGGTGATGTTTTTCAAGCTATTCTAGATGTTGACATTGCTACATACTCGAGTATTCTTAGTCGAGACAATCTTATTGTTAATTTTGAAAGCTGCATTGTATATGATGCAATCAGTCTGAGGTTTTGTTTTAAATGTTGTGGGCACAATCACTACGCTAAAAATTGTAAAAGCAAAGTTCAAGTTTGTGTAAAATGCTCTTTAGATAATAAATTATCTGAGTGTAGGTCGGCCTCTTTGAAATGTATCAATTGTGTCAATGCTCGACTTCCAAATTCGAATCATGCTGCTTGGGATGCAGACAACTGCACTTTGTATATGAAGAAACTGGCAGAATATAAAAAATCTATTATTGGTGATATATAGCAACTATCTTGTAAACAGTTAGAGCCAACTTTCGTGAATGTTGATGATTCTGTTCCACTTAATCAGACGGATTTCTCTATATATTACCAAAATGTCAGAGGGATAAAAACTAAGCTGAACACGCTATTAAATGCCTCATATGCTAGTTCTTACGATTTGTTAGCTTTGACTGAAACTTGGATAGATGATAGTATTAATGATGCAGAGTTTATGAGTAGTGATTATTGTGTATTTAGATCAGATAGAAAATATGTACAAACTGGCCAAACTAGGGGAGGTGGTGTTTTATTAGCGATTAGTAAGGTATATGAGGCACATGAAGTAACCATCGCATTTTCAGTTTTAGAAATTGATATTGTTGGGATTAAGATTCAGCTTGCTCGTAATGCTATCTACGTTATCCTCGCTTATATTCCTCCTAATATGCACCTAGATGCTTTTGAATCTTTTGTTGATGACATTTTGGCGATTGATTTTTTTGGTCCAAATGATTTTGTTATTTTTCTTGGGGATTTCAACATTCCCAGTTACGTGAATAAAATGTGGGATGATTCTTACAATGATAACTACTTATATGCTATCTCTAGTATGAGCAGTTTCTTTAATTTAGCCCAATACAATCGTATTCGTAACGAATATGATCGTATACTGGACTTTGTCTTCTGTAATAATTATGTTCATGTGAGAAATGCATCTGATATTCTTTTACCAGTTGATAGGCACCATCCTCCGATAGAAGCGCTCTTTTCACTTCCGCGTTCTCTGAATAACGTACGCCCAAATAATAATAATCCGCAATATAACTTTAGGAAAGCAGATCTTCCTGCACTCTACACCACTGTTATGGATTCAGATTTTTCTTTTCCATCGGACATCCTCGACATTAATATTGCTTGCGACCTGTTTTATAGTAAATTGTATAACGCTTTCGATAGGCACGTTCCATGCACATTACCAAAGGATAACAGATACCCTCCCTGGTTTTCTCGTGCAATAATCTTTAAAATATCAAAAAAACATCGCCTCTGGAAGCGATACAAGAGTACTTTGGTTAGATCTGACTATGAAGCTTTCAGTAACCTGCGAAGAGCCATCAAAATTGATATAGACTTGGCGTTTTCTAATTTTGTTGCGAGGACTGAGCGTGCCCTTGCGCAAAACCCCAATCAATTTTGGTCCTTTGTTAACTTGCGCAGCAACAGATCAGGCATACCCAACAATATGTCTTTGGAAAATGAGGAGTTCAGGAATCCACAGGAAATTGTTGATACTTTTGCCAAGTATTTCCAGTCCACCTACATCACGTCTTCTCAACCATCTACTGATTGTTCCGTTACAGAAAATATATCGTATCTTCCTATAGTGACTATTAATGTGGAGCATGTACGGAATTCAATGAAACGATTAAAGCCTAAATGTTCCACTGGCTTGGATTCCATACCTTCATTTTTTCTAAAAGACTGTGCGTGTGTTCTTGCTGAGCCTTTGACATATCTTTTCAATTTGTCCTTGAAATCTGCCACCTTTCCTAGAAAATGGAAATTGTCTAAAATAACAACTGTTTTTAAGAAAGGCGATCGATCTCAGGTAGAGCATTACAGGGCTATTGTTATTTTAAGTAATATTGCCAAAATTTTTGAGTTTGTTCTTTCTGATATTTTGTCATGCAAGTCGGTCAATATCGACGAGTCAACATGGTTTCTATAAGGGTAGATCTACGTGTAGTAATTTGGCATGTTTTAAGCAGTACTCCTCATCAGTTCTGGATAATGGCGGGCAAGTTGATGTAGTCTATACTGACTTTTCGAAAGCTTTCGACCGTTTGGATCACGGTGTTCTATTGCAGAAGTTGTCTAAGTACGGCTTAACATCTAGATTCTTAGCTTTCTTTCATTCATACATCAGTGATAGACAATTATGTGTGGACTTCCGTGGATATAAGTCTGGTGCGGTTTTAGCTACATCAGGGGTGCCTCAAGGTTCTGTTCTGGGTCCCCTATTATTTTTAATTTTTATAAATGATGTTATAACAGACTTGCGTTGTGAGTACTTGCTATATGCCGATGACCTCAAAATTTTTAATAGCGTTTGTTGCTCAGAAGACAGTTTAAAGTTACAAGCTGATTTGAATGTCATTGATCACTGGTGTAAAGTAAATAACATGCACTTGAATGTCAATAAATGTACTACTATGACGATTACACGTAGGGTGGAACCAAGATGTTTTAATTTTGAAATCGGTAGCAATGTTCTTTGTCGTGTTAATATCGTCAAGGATTTGGGAGTATTATTCGATCAAAAGCTTTCTTTTATTGATCACATTAATGCAATAATAGCAAAAGCATTTAAAAATCTAGGATTTGTTATAAGAAACAGTAGACATTTCAATAATAATAATACATTAATTTTACTTTTTAATGCTTTTGTCAGATATATTTTAGAATACTGTTCGATTATCTGGTACCCGGCCTATGATATACACTGTAGAAACATCGAGAGAATCCAACGTCGTTTTGTGAAATACTTATGGTTTAAAGATGATAGAGCGTACCCTGAAAGAGGTATACGCAATGACATTCTCTTAAGTAGGTATAATTTATCTAATTTAGTCAAACGTAGGAATCTGTTAGCTGCTAAATTTTTATGTAATTTGTTGAATGGAACAATTGATTGCCCTTTTCTTTTAGACAGGATCTCTCTACGCGTTCCCGATTTGCGTACTCGTCATGGTGGTAACAATTCATTTTATTTACCTGTTCCGCGGACAAATTTATTGTTATTTTCTCCTCTTTATGTTATGTGTAATGTCTGTGACAGTGTAAGTGAACTTGATACGTTTAGTACCTCCAAAATCAATCTCAAGAGGTTATTTTTAACAATTGGATAATTTATGTTTGTGTTTATACTGCTTACAGTTTTGTTTTTGTATCACTTTTTGTTTTTTCCCTAACTGTTAATTGGATCACTCTGTTCAGGCAGTGTATGGATTATAAATAAATAAATAAATAAATAATGATTCTGAGCTAGATAGATTGTCTAAAATATTTATATTCGTTTCAGCATTTTTGATGGCCTGCACAAAATTGTTATAAATGGAGAGTATGAATTTTGTTTAAAATTATTATCTTCTAATACTGGCCCTTTTAGGCAAAACAAAAATTAATAAGATGACAAATCAATAGGATTGTCAAAATGCAGGTTCTTCTGATAGAGATGAGAAATAAATTAACAGAGGATAAACAGAAGGATTGGAAGCCCGAGAGAGGTACGTTTCGGCTTATAAGCTTCATCAGGCCCAAATGGATGTGCATCGAAAACGCCGAAGTGAAAACGTATGCTCATCGAATCTGGATATGGGTGTAACCTGAAACAAAACAAGTATGCAAAGGGAAATGCAACTAGAAGGCACAAGCAAGAGCACATTTGTGCCTTCGGTCAGAACACCTCGGGTCATCGAGGCATGAGTAAATACAAAGAAAGACGAGAAGCATTGCGGAATCTCAGCACAAGAGCAGAAATAGAAGGATTCATGAACGAAGCCACAAATGTGCCTGATTTTGGTTGGTTTCTAAGAAGGTATTTCTGACCGCTCATCCGATATAAAAATATTTTAAAATAGTTCCCGACCGCCACCTTGGAATTTTCAGCTGCCACTTTAACGCTAAAATATAATATTAATGCATCAATTTCAAAAACAATTTCAGCTTTCTAACTTCATTCGTTCAAAAAATACCTGACCCTAGCTTCGTTTTTCTCGTAAAATTGGTTCATTTATATGTTTCATCGAAATTTTATTGGGAACTATAGCTACAAAACTGTACTTGTCCATCTACCAAAACGCTCGATTCCCTGTCAAATCCGCGTGTACGAAAATCATCCATTATCGAAAACTTCCTGAATTTCTTTCGTATTAACTGAGTGTGGAACTCCCCACACCAAACCACTCCAACTTTCATTGCGGTTGTGTGGATAATGTAAATGATCTGCGGTCGAAACTCTGACCTATAAATAAAGTTGTTACATGAAAAGTGAAGGAGCATTCCCGCTGACTCATCCAAGCTGGCTGGCTGGCCAATATAACTGCTCAATTTTTCTAATCCAACAAACACTAAGGCTCTTGAAAGAACCGTCAAAGGGGAGTGATCGATGGTGGAAAGTCGGTACTTTGCTCGCACTTTAATATTTATATTCGGGAATAGAAGGAAAAAATATACCTTGTTTCTGTTGGTTTTGATCCATAGGCGTGAATGAAGTTAGCTTCATAAGGCGGATGCGATAAAAATAAAGCATTATTTTTCTGGGAATGGTGGCGTGTCTTATGTCATCCATCACATGATATTTTTAAATGACGAAAGAAGCAGTATCAAGAAATCTAGAAAGAGAGCTCGACTAGTAAGAATGATTAAAAGCTCGATTAGCTGGGCTGGATGATATAAGCGTAGACAAGTAATCAAAGCCCTAACACCCAAGTCTTTCAAAAGACCCCCAGGTGAGCGTTGAATACCCTCCACCGACGATATATAGGATAGTCACTGTCGTTCCTTTATGATTGTAGATTTAGTTGTTTTCTACTCTCTGGCAGGTAAACAAAATGGCTACCACGGTGGAAGGAATAATATTTTAACCAGCGGCATATCTTAATGAAAATACTACCGCGCACGCATCACCATATTTTGGAAACAGATGGTATTTTGATCCCCATAGGAGATACCCATATAAATCTTCCTGTAGGTTCTATAGACAAAAGACTAACTTAACTCAACTTAACTTAAGTGCTTTAAATGTAGAGTCAACCTCAAACTACCGGTGAAAAGATAAGCCTTCTGCATCAGGCTGGTGACTGTATACATTGGTGCACCATGGCCAACAAAATATGATTTAAAAGCACAAAAACACAATTTACACGATGTCGTCGATACAAAGGCAAATTAAGAATGACACTTTCTCGTAAAATCAGACGAATTTCAAGCTATACTCTAGGCGCTGAAGAAAGAAACTAAGCCCAAACAAATACATGCATATTGCTCGTGAGTGAGTGTTTAGGCGCAGGAGACATTACAGGACCGCATCAAGATATTATGGGTAGTCATCAAAAATTTCATACAAGATAATTATTATCTTTTACAGTAAATTTCAGTTAGAGATTCACAAATTAGTTATTAGTAAGTAAGCTGCGCGCACTCATTCAGAAGAGGAACTTGAATCTTCTGAATCGTTTAAATGAATTATTAGAGGTTCAATTTGGGTATCGATGACATTGTCCAAATCCCACATTTTGACCTCAACCTTCTCCCGAACGTGGCGGATACAGTTTTTCCATTCCTCTGCCGTAACTCTATTGACTGCGATGTGAAAGAGATTTTTAACATCAGAAAATTTATAAGTATTATTATTCGACGCCACGTATTGCTTTATGTTGGCCCAAATCAGCTCAATAGGGTTCAGCTCACAATGGTAGGGTGGCAGTCTCAAGACAGTTTTATTTTGTTTTTTGGCCATTTCGTCGATCATTTTAAAATCGTATTTGTATTTATGTATATTGACTATACTTATCAATTCACCCTTGACCATTGTTTCATCAAAATCGATCTGTTTTGAGGCCAGCCATTGTTGTATGTTTGCTTTTTTAGTTGCCATTGTGGGAATTTTTTCTATTTTTCTAGAATAGTACGGGGCATTATCCAGTACAATAACAGCGTTATTCTCCAGCTTTAGTAACATTTTGGAGAACCAATTTTCAAAGGAATTTCCGTCCATCTCCTCATGATAGTCCCCTGCCTTTTTTTATTCAAAGGCCCACTGTGCTTCGGGAACAAAGCCGTCTTCACTACCTACGTGACAAATGATCAGCCGTTTGCCTTTTCCTGGAAATAAATTATTCCTTACACTATGGATTGATTAAATTTGAAGGAATGAGACAATTGAGTTCATTTAGCTGAATTTAAGAGTCACGGAATGCTGATCAAAAACTGAAAAACGTAGAAAATTGACGTTTGCAACTTCTCAAAACCCATTCAAAGCAAATTGACTGCACCCAAAAATGATAATAAATTTCAAAATAACGCTTAAAAGATGGTCGAAGTTTTTTTCCTAATGACTACACTGCGAATGCACCATTTTTGGAGAATATCACACATTATCTGCTATCACAGCATATTATTTGCCCGAATTTATCAAAATTAAATTGCCGGATAGATGAAGGAGCTTACCTGCAGGATTTTTCAATCCAGCCGAAAGACCGTCTAGAAAAGCCTGCCTTGATGATGTTACTGATTTGTCGACCCAAACTTTCGCTTGAGTATGTCCAGCATTCACCCACGTTTCGTCCAAATAGTAAATTTTTCTTTTTTCATCGCGAAACTTCCGAATCTTCCTAAGGTATTCCCTTCTCCACACAACAATTTCTTCTTTCTCTATTAACATACTGTTTCTTCCCCGTTTCAAGAATCGAAAATTAAGTTCCTTCAAAAGTTTTCGGAATGTGGTTCTTTTAAATGATGGAAGATCCTCATCAGCATTAACTAATCTTAATATCTTATCTACTGTAGGTATCTCATTTCGGAAGAAAAAATTATGCACTTTCCTCCTGATGGCAGTTCTGTCAAAGTCATCTACTCCGTCCGTTATCCTTTTTCTTGCAGGATACGGTTTTGGCTCAGAAAGTGAGTGAGTGCTTCTATATTCCTTAATGATCCTATAAACACTGGACCGACATACTCCAGAAATATGTGCTACCTTACATATAACTTCGTCCACGACCAAATCGGGTTTTTCTTGAATTTGGTTTTTGTATATATTTAATATTATTTGTTTTTCATTTGCACTTAAATGTAGCTTCTTAGCCCTTTTTTTGGGTGGGGTTGCGCTGATGTCAACCACTTCGTCGGCTGTATCTGTGTCAGACATCGTATCTTAGGCAATATATAAACAAAACGTTCCACTCGCGAAAAACGAGTATACGCTACTGAATGCGTAATGCGTATGCAATGCAATCCTGTGCGTGAATTAACTGTTAGATGCCTGTCGTGTCATCTACAATCACGTTTACAAGTCCAAACCTGTGCAGATTCGTAGAGCGCCGACGACTGCTAGTGACCTTGAATTTGTCTGTAGATCGAATTTAGGTTCAAAGTGGATGTTTTCTAAACCAATTTGTTGTTCCTACATCAAAAATATATCGATGATGTTTTGTACTGGGAGCTCATGAAAGATCAAGGTAACTTATTTTAACAGTCATCCTTTTTCTAGTCTCAAGATGACACGAAAAAGGGTCTGTGGATTCACTAGAAATACACTGCCGAGGATGTTTAGACCTAAAGTGACTGGAGTATATCCGTGGATGCTTTCGAGGGATCTGTTCACGTGCTGATCACTGTTTACGTTTAATGTCTTTCTTCAGCGCCCAGAGTTTAGGTATAGTAAGTAACCCAACGTTGCCAAATTTCAAGCAAAGACTTGGATTTACGTAGTTGTACTGCGCAACTGTTTACGATATTCGATCGAACACTGTTTTAGATTGATGTTCGCCTCTGAAACATCATACGTTCTAGGCGCACATATGTTCTGGCTGAGGCTGTGTTCATATTCAACATATTTCTTATATCTACGATCTAAACGTTTGTGGTTACTTCAAGAGGTTTGAAAAAGAAGGTGCCAATTTTCAGAACATCATGTATATTAAGAGACAGTTGGCTCAATCTTATTTTCGGTGACAAGGAAAATGAATAAGTGAATGGTCAATGTGTAGTGGTAATCATAATACATGATGATTTGAAATCTTAATTTAAGTCAGTATGTATAAAGTCAAATGAATTTTTGTTGATAAGTAGAATAATATCACTGGAAACCAAGGTTAGGTACACAAATATTCAGATAAGATATCAGACACTAATTAATGTCCTGACTAATCAAAATCTAATGTAATGTTGTCAAGCATATTTTTCCTACTCTTATCAAAAGATGCACAAAGGATCAGAATTCAGAAAATCACTATGGTCGCCTTCTTGATAAACTGTTTGACTTGAGACAGTATTAAATCAAATAAAATTTACTGATTTTCTAGACAATGGAGAAATGCGCCATGATCAACGAAATATCACACATCGTTTCAAAAATAAATAATAAAATATCCATTGGCAGTCAAAAAATCTGTCAGACTTGAAATCATACCTATAAAACGGATACTTCTAACATAGAAATATGCTAATTTATAACATAAATATTTTTTCGGAATTAATTCGCCTGGAATCTATACTAAATGACCTGTTAATTTCCCAAAACGGGCGGCAATGGTCATCGCTGACAAATAACGTAAAGTGATTAATGTTAACCCGCCGGATATTAGGGAAAGTTTTGGACAGCAAGAAACCGGGATTTCGTTTTATTCAGAGCTTTTTACCAAACACCCTGGCTTCCACTTGACATTCGTTTGTTTTTATGTTTGGTCTGCAGGATAAATTATAAAAATGTATGATGATATGGTCATCAGATCTCGAAACTAGTTAAAACTGTGAATGCTTCCAAAATATTAACCGAGCTCAATTATAGTCTGTAATAATTATGATACAGTGTCTCAAGATACAGAACAGAAGAACAGTATAACAAAAACGTAACAAAACATCTCCTACGGGTATGTAGCTAATTTAAATTTTTATTTCAATTCTGTGATCTATGAAAATGAAAATTTTACCGATTTCACTACTAGAACACCACTCAGGAATTTTCAGTTTATTAGCGAGTTCTAATATTTTAAAGCTGTCGGTGTAATTCTATGACATATATGTACTTTAAATAACTTGGCATTTCTTACCTATAGCAAATACATACAGTTCTATGAAACTTTAACCTGAATGTAAAACTTAATTAGATTTAAGTACACAATCCTATCAATTTATTTTCAGGATGAATCTTTGACTTCGATTTCGGTCGAAGGTTGTGTTAGAAGCCGTACATCGCCTTCGGTCAAAAAAAGACTATATATACCGGTCAGCCATCGTCTTTGGGCTTCAGCGTTGTCAATTCTCGAACTTGCCTTAGAGATTTCCTTTTATATCGTTAAGAGGTTCCAAAAATACGAAGTCTTAAAATAATTATTGGACCATGTTTAGGAAAAAACAATCTTTTAACAGAAGTAAAATGAAGTCACTTCCACTGGGCGAGGAAGTATTATAAGAACGAAAAATTTCGGAAATGAGATATGTTTCTTAAATGTTATATGCAATGCACATCACGAAAAACCAGATCACTCATTTCCGTCCGTCTGTCTGTCCGCTAATCCTTAGACCGTCTTTAGAAGTACCACTAGGATTTTGATGAAATTTTTACACAAGGTTACTACTATGCCAAGGACGAAAAAGCTTTGTAGTTTTTGAAAATCGGTCCAGTTGGGGCAGCCCCTCAGACAAAAGGAAAGGAAAAAATAATCTCTCAAACTGCGTTTTATGACCTTTCAGTGGATCATAATCATTTTCAGGAACATTTCTAAATGGGTTAAAAATTGGATGTTGGAGGTTGTAGGTGGTGGGGGGACAGTATCTATCAATATTTTGATGCAAGCAATTTATACATTTCCAACCCACCTACGCACCTATTAGACATGTTTCATACATCATACATTTACCCTTAAAACTCAAAGAACGAAC